AATTTGCTTTGTTATTGGTCGTTACTGCACATTATTCATCTAACTGCTAAACCTTATGGTTACCTCCTCCCTACTCAAATTACTTAAGGAGGTTACACCCAGAGCCAGCCCGACCCATTAAGCGACATAAGCGGCCGCGTAGGGCCCCGCAGCCACTAGGGGCCCCCTAGCAACAACAAAAAAAAGAAAAAGAAAAAATTATCTCAGTACACCGTCGCCGTGATAAGTATGTTTAATTAATTTTGTTAATATGCCTAGATTGCCTACTCTCAAAGTAATGTATTATATTATTGAGTCAATCATATAATACATTAACCTGTTAAGCACCAAGCCTGTTTTTCATGTTTCAGGCTCGAAAATGACATGCCCAAAACAAATGACTACAACTTAACTTCTAAAAGGGTTATATGAATAATTTATTTTTATCAAAGCAAGGTTACATCTGTGAGTTGGATGTAGAAGTGTCAGAATCAATATAGATGTTTTTTATTTTAAAGAAAATTCAGATTTTACATAGTAAAAAACTGTAAATTATAGTGTCCGTCCAAAAATTCTTTTTTACAGATAGTGAAAACTACCCTTGGATGATGGGTTAGTAGACTAAAAGCTTTAGGAATCCAAAGTACAACATATAATAAGTACCCTGTATCAAGATTGATGCAAAACAAGTGACATTTGACCTTTTTAGAGAGGTTTAGCCAAAACCAAAATGTTTTTTTTTCCATATCTCTGGCCCCCCTTGCTCGATTTTAATGGTTGACACCTCTTTCTGACCGTTAGAGCCAATAGAATCGAAGGGGGAGGCCCCCACACACACACGTTGTGAAGAGAAAAGGTGGGGGCTGCGCGCATGTAAATGTGCAGCAGAGTGGACCGATTTCTCGCTCTGACATTTGGAAACGAAAAAGCAGTTTTATTGCTTATGGATTATCAGAAATAATTTCAAAGAGTACACAGACACATAGGATTAACCCTTGGATTAACTGCAGCATCATTTTTTTATCGTTTTAATGCCATTGAAGACCAGTTTTGACCAAGGTAAGCCATGTTAGCGTTTCTAGCTACCTAGCTCCACATGTTATGATGTACGCTTTCGTTTATAGCGTCGCAAATGTTTATCACTGAGTGTTGAGGTGGGCACCAAACGATTCTGTGTCTCCAGGGGACCCAAAACTAGTGGTTGGCTGTGCATCTAGGATAAGTAATAAGGGAGTTATTGTGAGTTTAGTTGCAGAGATAGGTTACATTTTTTTCGCTCGTGGCTAATTCAGAGGCTGAGTGTTAGCATTGTGGGGTTTTTTTGGAGAAAAAAAATTAAAAAGATCAGTTAGCTGAGTTTCTTCCCGTTACATGGATATAAAACATTCATAGTTTATTAAATATTAAGATTCCTTAGACGTTGTTTCCTGCAAATGACGCGTTTATCTGCCCGGTACCGGGCGGATGGTGCGTAACAGGTTAACCGTGCTTTACCTGAACCTCATCATGACACTAGAGAGGACGGCAGGATTCTGTAATTTCCTGTGTTCCATGAATGCAACAGAGGCAAGACACCAGACCAACCAGAGAGTTGAATGGAAATAAACATCTGTCTTATTGGCTGACAGGTACCTATCCTGTGAGCTGTGACGATGTTTAAAATAAACTGTCAGTCGGACTCAAAGTTTTTGAAGATGGACATAAGAAAAAAAATTCTTGACGACAATTCTCAAGTGGTGGCTCACACAACAACCCCAGAGCCACCACTTGAGCCAGGTAAACAAGGTATGTAAATGTCAGTAAACTTCCAAGTTATGCGAACATGTAAGCAAAGCATAAATTACAGCTACGTTGACGTTACTTTGAATCGCGGGGGTAAGCTAAACCGTTAGCAAGTAGCTATAGCTAGCCAGATATATTAAATAAACACTTCGTAATACAATCTAAATGTTATGTTTTTTAGCGTTACCTGGTGATTTCAAAGAAAGCTCTCTGGGAAATGTTGACTTACTGTTCGACATGAAGCTAGAAGCTACCTTACAGTACACAGTTGATCCTGAGTCCTGTCAGTTAAAGTGTTTCATAGTTAGCTTAGCTAAGCATCAACCTAGCACTGATTTTCTATATACATAGGAAGTGAGAAATAGAAACTTAAGGCAGGCTATTATTTCTTGGAATGAGCAACAATGGATGAGCTCTTTCCACAACCGCCAAAATAAGGTCGATTTTCAAGTCTAGTGGAGCCTCGCAGCCACACTAATTGCGCCGCATAAGCGCATAGGTGCGCTGCATTTGCGGCTCAGTTGAGGCTCCCTCCGCAAGATGAGGCCCCCTCTGCAAGGTGAGGCCCCACGCAGTCTGCGTGATCTGCCTGTAGGGAGGGACGGCCCTGCATTCAGCTATAAAACGTATTCTTCAGACTTTTCATATTTTTTACACTTTTTGAGATTTCATTTAATTTCAAACCTTTATTTATCCAGGTGTATCCCATTGAGATCATTGATCTCTTTTTCAAGGGAGACCTGCTCAAGTAGGTTCCACATGAAACATAAAAACATAAAACAACAGAACAACAAAAAGGACATCATGCAGCATCATTACAGGGATTACAATTTACAATAACTATCCACATGAACAGGTACCAACAGCATCTGATTGAGTAGCATCCAACCGAGCTTTAAAAACATTTAGTGGCACCAGATTGCTCAGTTTCCATTTCAATTGCAGACTATTCCAAGACAGAGGAGCTTCGCATCTAAAAGCTATCTTCCCTAAGACAGTCCTAGCAGTTGGCACATTTAATAAAACCACAGCATGCGATCTCAGGCAGTAGCCACTTACAATTCGCAGTGAGATCAGGGAGCAGATATAGGATGGACGTTTCCCTAACATGGCTTTGTATATAAAAATGTACCAGTGACTGAGCCTCCGTACAGTAAGTGAAGACAAACCAGCCCTTGCATACAGGGTACAGTGATGGGTTAATACTTTACAGTTTGTCACAAATCTCAGTGCACTGTGATACGCGGCATCTAACTTGATCAGGTAATTGGCAGGTGCATTCATATAGATCAGATCACCATAGTCCAGTACAGGTAAAAAGGTCACAGTGACTAGCCTTTTCCTGGCCTCAAGCGAGAAACAGAACTTGTTCCTGTAAAAGAAACCTAGCTTCACCCTCAGTTTTTTAAGCAGGTTATTGACATGAAGTTTAAAAGAGAGACAATCATCGTCGATAACGTCGTCACCATGGTAACCTTTGATCTCTGGGCATACACACACAGGTGTTTGATAACATTCATTCACTACTACTTAATATCTAACTCTTTCAGCCTACTTTCAGCTACAGAAACCATTCAACTGTTGACTTATTCAGCTATTTCAGGACATTGAGGCTATACATTTGGTTGTTTATACCTTTGTTAAACCTTTTTAAATATTAAGCTTCTTCACTATTTTTCCTACTCTTCCAGTTTAACATTTCACTTTCAAGTTTTCAACAAAGTCATTGCAATGCATTTGAGATGTAACAATTTTGATTCAAATAATTTCACTTTTCTGCATTTCTCCGCTAAGTTCAGCAACACACTTACTTGGTTTTTGTAGCTAAGAGTAGCTACAGAGACCATTCAACTAATACAATATTCAGCTTTTTCAGCTAAATTCAGCAACAAATGTACACAGTTTAAAGCATTCACATGCATTTTCAGCCAGAGTGATACACTTCAATTTGCTCTTCAAAGACAATGAATCAGTCATGCGACACCTAAACGGTTAACCTTCCAAGAACATCTAGCATAAAACTACTGATGTATGACACCAAAGTATCACTTTCACTGGCTGAGGTAGCTGTGGTTTGTGGTTTATACTGCTCAAAGCAACACAACACCCACACAGTGGCTTTGATTGTTGTGTGTTGCATGTGTCAAAGGAGATCTGCTGTCACCTAGTGCCCCTTAAATTATATTGCAATTTTATTAGTCAAATTATCACCACAAGATTCAAGATTCAGAGATTCAAAGGTTTATTGTCATAACATACACAAAACTAAGGAGTAATTATATAATGTATGAAAAACTTACATTGCAGGTTTCTCAACAGTGCAATTTACAAGATATAAAACAATATATATAAAAAACAACAATACAAATAGTGCAAGCTCAGGTGTTTAATAGTCTTATGGCCTGTGGGATGAAACTGTCCCTGAGTCTGGTGGTTTTAGTCCTGATGATGCAGTACCGTCTGCCAGACGGCAGCAGACAGAACAGTTTGTGGCTAGGGTGATGGGGGTCTTTGATAATCCTGAGCGCTTTCTTCCTGAGCCGCTGGGAGTAGAGGTCCTCCATCATGGATGGCAGCTCCGTCCTGGTGATATGCTGTGCAGAGTCTTACGGTTGAGGGCGGTGCAACTGTCGTACCAGGCCGTGATGCAGCCAGTCAGGATGCTCTCTATGGTGCACCTGTAGAAACCGTAGTCCCATTGATGGCAATGGGGGAGTGTCCCTCTCTCTGCTGCTTCCTGTAATCCACAATCAGCTCCTTGGTTCCTTGGAACACAATAAGTCATTTAGGCCTATATTGTAAATAAACCTAGCAAAATAGAAAGAACTGTATTTAAACATCTATTATATATATATATATATATATATATATATATATTATATATATAGCCTATATAATATATATTGGATGAACAATCCTTATGTTGCCTCAAAATAAAATAAACATATTTATTAAATGAAATAATGGAAATAATAAACAAATATTATGGAGTGTGGACTGCTACTTGGAGAGGTCCCAGTTCACCAGTTCACCTCCTGGGCCCTGCCGTGGTGCCCTTGAGCAAGGCATCGGAAACACATTTGCCTCGGTGTTTTGGGCGCATGACAAATAAACATAATAAGAGCAAATAAAAGATAAACGAAAAAGGGTTTACTTTTAATGTTTTTTTTTTAAATAATGTGTCTTCTTGCTTTCTTCCAACAGATGTCAGGTTTGCCTTTCAGATGCGGCCTCAGCTGGGGCTGAGAGGAGGATGCTGTTAGGAAGAAAAATCTACCCTGGGACTAGCTTGGTTTATTTGGATGTTTGGAAATGGCTACCAGGAGGAAGGAGAGGAAGCAGTGACCACTTTGGGAGTAAAGCATCGTTTGTGACATATAGATATGCAAGGAGTGCCAAACCTAACTGAGATATTGGGGGGTTATCATCGACTTTCTAGCCCAAGGATATTGCTGCTTACAGGTAAGTGGATAGCGGATACACGAAATACATAGTTGTCTCCTGGAGCGGGTAGCTAGCACTGCGCTGCTAGCATGCGAGTTAGCTAACATAGGCAGGAATGTGCATCTTGCCGAGGTTGGTTTCCAACTACAGCAGCAATAAAGCTAATGTTAGCATGTCAGCAGTAACGCAACACACAATACGTATCCAGTTGTAATATTAAAACACAAACTCAGTTCTTCATTTGCTCTTTATTTATTAAAGGCCAGCGTCACCGTTTAGCTTGACAGTTGTCGTTCAGATGCTAGTCCGATCAGCTGGTCTTTAGCTAACTGATGCTAGTGTAAGCTAACATAGCTGGAATCGTCTCGCTTATACATTACAGGTTTGCAGCTGTATTGTGTTGCCATTAACTTTATGCACCCTACTGTGCCTGAAAATGTTTGAAAAAAACTGTCAATGGAATACACACGAGGACAAAACAAAAACAGGGGCACGGACAGTCTGTGGCGTTGGCTAAATGTATTACTCAACATTATATTATGGGCTAAGCAGGGTTGTTGTAAGGTTACGACTGGCTAGTCATAGCCAAGGGGCTGCTGGTATCAAAGTCGCAATGACTGGCATATTAAGTGCATTTACCATCGGCCTCATTTCGTGCCTAAAGACTCTGCTGTGATGTGCAACTTAAAGTCACCTGTGTGTGCCCAGCGGTCAGTGCATTGTTCCTGATTACATGGATGACTGCCCGGCTGCCTTTACAGTCACCTAACCACCCAGCAGCTCAGTCTTGGTTGCAGGATGGGGCTAAATGTGTACTTTGGTGCATCTAATGTTATCAAAAACATGTGCCATGCCCTGGCCGTGTTTACTGTGTCCCTTGGCAGCACATGCGATGAACTACGCCTGACAGATTGCCTTAAAAAAAGGTGTTTTGCTTCTGCATGTTTTAACCTTGCTAGCAACGGTTTTGTTCAACTATAAACAAAAGACAAAAACACATGTGTTAATAAGAATATCAAAGAAAATGGGAATGTCTAACGTAAAGACAGAATAACATTGTGAAATATGGTAAAGCATGCTTTTGATATTTGTGCAATCCAGGCATTGCTGTTAGCTTCCTACATGGTGTAAGCTATGAGCCAAGTGCATGAAGGAAAAGCATCCAGTCTCAACCTTTTTTCAAAATAAGAGACAGAAGACTCAGCCAAACTTAACATTTACCTGCTTTTCCTACCATTGTATGTGGACATTATCATGATTGAAGATGTTTATGGTCTGTAACCATTTGTTGAATGGGGTGAGACATGCTTTACTTCTACAACAGTTGTTGGTAACAATGACATGCTCTTTCCCTAATAATTCACACAGGCATCTTTTAAATTACACCCATTTCAGTCACACATAATTGCAATGTCATAGATTTCACATGCAACTCAATTGTTGTACTGGTTGTCCAATCCTTTTTTTTATATACGCATTTAACTTACACGCACAATGAAAATAATAATAATAATTTGTAAAGCAATTTCCTTCCAACAAGTTAAATAACAAGACCTTAAAAACATCTTTCACAACAGTAACTGAATATTATGAGCTTTAGGGGCATGACACAATTGATGTTTACTGAAGGGCTACTGCATTGTAAAAGCCTCATGCTGTTTTGTCTGTCCCAAAGAACAGGAATGAAAGGGTTTTAGAATTATAATGAAAACAGCACAATGACTACAGCCTTTTAAAAAATATTCATATTATTGACCAGGCTAGAAAGTCATTAATTTTCAAGAAGTGCAATTTTATTACGTTTAAAATAGCCATTTACAGCCACTTTGACTTTATAATTAAAAACTCCTTTTTCTAAATTCAACATTCACTTTCCTAAACCTTTAAAACAACATAAATGTTGGATGAGCAGGCTACACATATGTTTATCTTAAACAAACAACCTGAATAACCCAAGCCCCTTTCAATATTCAATTGTGAGGGATAGGGAAGTTGTTAATCCATTTCAGTGTATTTGGCCATATTAACTAATAATAAGGCACGCCAACACCACCAAAAAGAAGAATCTAAGTAGATCTGGAAATGAATGGCAATGATCGCCAAAATAATTATCATTACAGTAAGTCTATTCAGACAGTCAACCATCTTTTGAAGTTAACTGGTCATCATTTAAATGTCCTAATCTAATAAGAAAACCTGATTAGGTTCAATAGCTGTTGGTGTGTGCTGCGGACATTACGTTTTATTTCTGAATACAGGGTTCTGTCTCTTTGCGTTGTAAGCAGCAAGCTTTGGATTTCATGTACTACAGAGAATGGGACGTTAACAGAAGGTTAAGATAGCTTTGCTAAAATATTAAGCTAATTAGGTGGCATTCATTCAGAATAATGAGCATATAAGTTGCACAGTATTGCCAATCTGTAGCGTTTTGAGCTGCGTGAAGGCAAATTAAAGATGTCTCCGGCTGCTGGATTTTGTTATTAAAATAACCTATGCATAAATTATGGAAAACACCATATAAATGTTATTAATTCTAACCACCAATAGCTGTGAAATGCTTACCATTAGCAGATATGCACGTGTTGACAAGCTTGTCCAAAGTTAAAGCCCTCAGCTTTAGAATAAATGGACTTTAAAACTGAACATCAAAACCAGAGCTGTGTAACTCATTACAGTGTAATAATAGAAAACTGTCAATTGCTGATAGCTGACCTTTGGTGGCAGGTGATGTTATTGTTGTGTCTAGATGGTATCCCTCAAATAGCAAAACTTGCCAAGGGCTCTCTAGAAACTTGCTTGGAGATGACTTATCTTAATCTAAACTATTTGTGTTCAATGCCTAACTTGGCCTATCGAAGAAAACAATTGTAATGGTCACATTTACCAGCCACACTTTATTTTAATTCAACTTTTCTATTTATTTGGCTGTTGAGTAAAGCAAGTCACATTTTACAAGCATTTGGCTGGTCGCTAGTGTTACGTTTGCCCATGAGGCTATTCTTCCCCACTACAGAAATCAGCTGTGCGGTTCTTATTTTGCTGTGATTTATTGAGATGACTCAAAACCTGCCAAGAGTTGGTGTGAGGAAGTGAAGTCATAACTGTAGCCTCGGGTACTTACCTTATTCTGCTTTTTTCCCTCTGTGTTTCAATGCTAACCGACATTGATACTGTGAAACTCACTAGGTTAGTCCTTTGGCTAGGTGTATACTCTCCTCGGTTAAAAAAGGGTTGCTAACATTTGCGTACTGGATACAGCACTTATTGTTCCTACATCTAAAACTGTAGTTTCTTCGTTTTGCATATCTTTCCTCCAGGGAAAAAGCGATTGTTGGTCAAGTAGGCTTATATAACATTTCATCATGTTTACCAGCTGCTTTGTATGAGTAATTGTGATTAAACATTGCCAAAGTTGTGTGATGAATTAAACACAGTTACACAATATAATATGCCCTTGCTGACACTTTTATAGCCACCATCCAAACTAAATTATGCCCATAACTGAGGTTTGTGTTTTGAATTTAATTCCAACTAAGTGTTATCTGGAGTTACTACTCAGCTCTAAAAGCTATTTGGATATTAAATATGTAAAAGGGCTTGCTGAAAATAGGGGAATGCATCCAACCTATCACCTAGAAAGCAAAAAAAACATTTTGCAAACCTGATGACCTGTTATAGCCTCATATTTTGACATAGAATGTAGGGCTGTGCGATTATGGCAAAAATCATAATCACGATTATTTTGGTCAATAATTGATATCACGATTATTAAATACGATTATTCATTGACTTTGAAAACATCCATTTATTGAACTTTAAAACAAATACAAATAATAATTTGAACAGTAACTGTTGATTAGCCTGAACGTATAATTCAACTGAAAAACTTTAAATAAATAATATCAAAATAATAAATACCAATAAACAAGATCAACAAATATTTTGGAGCGCACTTCCAAAAGCTACTAATCATATATAAATATGATAAATACAAATAAATTAGACCAAAATAAATTAGATCAAATATGTTGCAGTGCACTGTCACAACCTAGCAAAGCAAAATAATTGTTTTATTCGATTATGTTGTTTTCGTAATTGTGGCAGGCCAAAATCGTAATTGCGATTAAAATACGATTAATTGCACAGCCCTAATAGAATGGCACACTTTTCTAAATTCTGTTCCCTATGATGTTCATGTCAGGATAAGCCAGACCAGTGTAAAGGATGATGCAGTGATGACAAATTGTGTACAACGGCCCCCCCGAAGTTAGCATCGGCAGGCGAGTAATGGACAAAAATTAATGTCCCCATTGGATTTCGGTATATTGCAGAAAAATGTGCCCTGTGGCCAACACAGATTCAACACGTTTTTTTCACCAGGATAATCTATAGTATACATATAACACCCCTTTGTGATTTTTGAAGCGCAAATGCAGTCACCCGAATTAAAAAGCTAATGGTAGGCTAAAAACTAACTACGACGTCACCACTGCTAAATGAAAGGCAGATTCATGATGATGTTTAGTAGTCACATTTAGTCACTCTTTTGCATCCGCCATTTTGATGACGCCTAGAAGATTCGGACATTCACAAGTGAGGTGTTTGGTTTACGTAATTTATTTCGTAGAATAAAACGTGAAAATCTCTACAGCTTGTTTTAAACACAGAGCTTATTTCAGGCATCTTAATTAAATTGCTTATATTGTCAGACCAACTGTCAAAATTCCCAAAGATTATAGCATACTTTAAATTGTATTGAAACAGCACTAGCACATTAAGGTGGCACTATCTGAAAAGTTAGCTGTTGTTGTGAATGATTGGGAACAAAAGTAAATAACTTTAAATAACAAGATTTCACAGAGTGCTGCGCCTGAGGCCAAATTAGAAAAAACACCTTGAAGTCTTAACAAATACAAAGACAGCTTATTTTAAATCAACAGAGACTAATGTATACAGACTAAGCAAAGATTACCTGCTGAGATTATATTTTGGCTTTGCATTTCCCTTTCTGTAGTGGG